AGAACAGACGCCGAGAGAGGCGACACTTCTCCGGGAAAGTCAGACCTCGTGTTCACGGGACAGCACTGGATCCAACTGAACCATAGCTAAGGTTTATCCAAAGAAGCCGCTAGGTTTGTCAGTATGAATATTCTATGGAAAAAAGCCGCTAAAAGGGTCTGAAAGTTGCTAAATCTAGTGCTAAAGTCGCGCTCGTGTGTGTGAGACGCGGGAGCTGATGGAAGCGGGCAGTGGATATTTGTGGCGGTCAATGTGGATATTGTGGATGAGTTCTTCTGTGTCATCATGTTCTATTAGTTCTACAGCTTCAGTTTCAGAACTTTCACGCTTAGTAACACATACAGCTGTTCCCTCACCACAGTGCAACAGTGAAAAGAGACCCCTTTCAAACAGAGTCGCGTTCCGAGCGTTGTTTAAGCGACATACACCGGTATTGCGGTATTTTAAAAATTCATATAATAACAAGAATAAACACCGGTATGAACCGGTATACCGCCCAGCACTACTTTTGTGAATAATTACCAGTCAGGGTCTTTGGGAAAACGATGAAAGATCATATTTTTACTGTCACACTGATAGTTTTTGCAGTGGTTTGTGTTCTTTTATTCCATGTTGACCTCTCTTTTGTTGTTATTCTGTCTATTTCTGTATATCTGTGCTGTTGTCCAGTTGGACTTTTCACCCCAAAATGGCGGCCGCGCTACCGAAGCGCCACCTAGTGGCTGCTACCCAAAAAGCATCAGAGTTTCACCTCTTGGTCTTCCATACTCTTTGGTTACCATACGTATTATCAGAACTAACGTACTCATGAAGCGCGACTGGATGTACGGGAAGCAAAATGGTTCGGAAAGTACCGTCTTTTCTCCGAAACTTGAAAATGGATTTGAAAAGCGAGGTTTCCCCTACTTACAACTGATATAAACATAATGTTTGAGGCTTTGGTTATTACGCACAAGTCTCTAGCACAGGCCTATTTGAAACACAATGTCTGTCAGATGTGTTTTTAAATGTCGCTTAATTTTATGATTGAAATAAACATAGCACATTATACACGCTGGAAAATTTAAGAATGGCTTCAAAATTCAATTAGATTTATTGCAAGAAAAGCATTTGTATTCTTTTTCTGTGGATGGATTATTAACACAAATCATATGGAACCATCGCCCACAGTCGTCACAGGAAATCTGTAAAAATAATAATAATAAAAAAATGTTAGCAACATTGTCAGCAGTTGTGCTAGTCTATCAGGGATCAACGCTAATGATTTTTTCTACTGGCCAGTGGTTCAAATTTTTACTTGCCCTGCCACAAAAAATAAAATAGTTGCTGTTATCATTGTTTTTGATCTGTTATCTTGTATTCTAATAAATAAGCTTATATGACACCAATATTTTAGATACCAATTGAATTTTACAGTTCTCTATTTCAATTTCGATACCACAGCAAAAATCACTAGGCAAACATAAATATAAAGTTTAAACATTATTAAAGACAAGGCAGCCAGTAAATAAGAACAAATGAACAAATTACAAGTAATAGCACAATTAAATAGGCAGCCTATAGCACAAAAATAGAAATTAATTGATGCTTTAGGTTTTTATGTTTGTAGATGTTCAGGTACAGAAATTGAAATCACATAAAATAACATTTGCATATTCTTCACTCTGTGTTGCACCTTGAT